CAGTTTTATGCTTGGATTCAATGCAGGATCAGCTGTGAAGAAACACTCCTTGCTTCTAAGACCCTTCCAATTTCCTTACATTGAAAGTACTCAGCAGAACAAGGTGTCATATTTTGGGATGACAGGTTCTAAGCCCCAGCAAAGGCCACGGTAGTGCCTAAGATAAACTACAAGAGGAATGTTCGTCCTCATTCAATGAATATCTCTCCAGAGGGACTAGAGAAGTGAAGTGAGAAATTGTAAATGTTTACACAATCATGAGAAATAGAACACACTTAGATGCAACATTACCAATATCCCTTACTGCCTTTTATCCTTAGCTGTGAAATTGAAATATAGTTTCAAAAACATTGAAACATAGTTTCAAAAAACAGAAGCATTTTCATTATGGTAAAAAAATTGTGAAATGTATTAGTTACAATTAACAGGTTATAAATTTTTAAAGAATTTCAAAAAGCAAAGGCTTCCCAGTAAGTGTAAATCACAGCAGAAAAGTTGAAAACATTGGACAAAAAGAGTGTGTTGTAATGGTGATAAACTGAAGGAGCCTAGTAAGGCCTGCTTTTTCAAATTCTTCTGGGCCTGTCTATGTAGCATGCCTTCTTCCAGTTATAGGGCATGACACCCATCAGATAAGGATCCTTAAGGGAAAAGGGAGAAGATCAGAGAGTAAAATGTATAGGTTTCATGGTCTGCTTTCAAGGAGAAGAGTTCTAGTTTCTATGACCCACTTTTGGTAGAGAAATGCAAAAAGGAGAAAGGAAGGTAGGAGAAGGTCAAAGAGAACTTCTTGCTTCTGAAGCCCTTCCAATTTCCTTCCATTGAAAGTACTCAGAAGACCAAGGCTGTCATACTTTGGGATGACATGTTCTAAGCTTTAACAGGAGCCATGGTAGTGCCTAAGATATAGCACACACATTCAGGGAATGATACCACACTCAAGATGTCACCTTAAGGTGAGCTCAAACTGTCACTCTGAAAGGATGCCTGTGATGAAAATTATTATTTCCACACTTATTCAGTTTCTTGTCTTTCTCTCAGTTAAAGGGAAAGAATGTCCCAAGTCTTTGTATTCAGAAGAATGTTCATCTTCATTCTCTGAATATCTGTCCAGAGGGACTAGATAAGTCAAGTGAGAAATTATAAGTGTTTACACAATCATGACAAATAGAATACACTTGGACACAACATTACCAATATCCCATACTGTTTTATTTTAAATTACCCATGAAATGGAAATATAATTTAAAAAGCATTTTTCTCATTGCAAACAAAATTTTGAAATGTACAAGTTGCAATTAAGAGGCTATAATTTTCTTAAAAACTCCAAAAAGCAAAAGTTTCCCGTAAGTGTAAATCACAGAAGAAAAGTTGAGAAAATAATTCTTAAAAAGTAGAATGAGGAAGGCAATTCTGGATCTTATTGACAGGGCAATAAAATTAATAGCACATGAACTTTGTTTTATATGTTTCATAAGCTGTTATTACATGAAATATAATAAGTCAAAAATGATTAGCATCACCCTACAGACATCTGAACCATCAAAAATTGGAAAGAGAGGAAAAAAATAACTAATGGAGAATCTCCATACTGTTGCTGTCTCCCAGGTTAAAGTGCAGTGGCATAATCATTGCTCTCTGCAATCTTGAGCTCCTGGGTTCCAGCAATCCTTCCACCTCAGCCTCCCAAGTAGCTAAATCTAGAGGTGCATGCCACTTTTTTTCATTTTAAAACTTTTTTTTTTTTTTTTGGTAGACATAGAGTCTCACTTTGTTGCCCAGGCTGGTCTTGAACTCCTATCCTCAAGTGAAATTCCCACATCAGCCTCCTAAAGTATTCAGATTAGTGACATAAGCCATGGTGCCTGACCCCTCATTCCTTTTTATAGCCACATAGCATTTCATTATTTAGGTCTACCATGTTTTACTCCAGCCATCTCCTACATATAGATTTTTTCTCTTCTGCTTTTTGCTTTTGAAATAATGCTATATCAAATAGCTCTGAGCATAAGCCTTTTTATTTCATTTGTATTGATTCCTAAAATTGGTATTACATGGTGAGAGAATAAATTTGTATGCAATTATTCTAGATATTATTAAATTCCCTTCCTTTGTGTTTTATATTTTTGCATTATCTTCCGTTATAAATATAATTTCATGTTCACTCATAATTTCTCAAACAGCATACTTGTCAAATTTAGGGAAATTTTTCAAATTGATTAATGAGAAATTAAATCATAATCTTGTTCTTTTTTTAAGACAGAGTCTTGCTCTGTCATCTAGGCTGGAGTGCAGTGGTGTGATCTCTGCTCACTGCAACCTCCACCTCCCTGGTTCAAGCAATTCCCCTGCCTCAGCCTCCCGAGTAGCTGGGATTACAGGCGCACGCCACCATGCCCAGCTAATTTTTTGGTATTTTTAGTAGAGACAGGTTTTCAACATGTTGGCTAGACTGGCATGATTGTTCTTGTTCTTAATCTGTATTTTGCTCACTGTGAGTGAGACTTAGCATTTTTTCACATTATTCACAAATATTTAAACTTATCAATTCACTCTATTCATATCCTATAGCTCATTTTAGAATTACAGAAAATTATTTTATTTTAATCTATTATTATTTTAATGACAAACTAGTTTAGAATTACAGAAAATTTTAGTCATTTTCTATAGGATTATTAGCCTTGTATTTCTGTATTTTAGAAGTTTTTATATATTCAAGACATTGACTTTTTATCTATAAGTGAACACATACCTGGTCTTGTTCTAAATTTTGCAAGAAATATTCCCTTGTGAAGTAAAGTGATGGTTATTAGAATGGAAACTATATAACATATATTGCTGAATTGAGGACTTAATTCCTCAATTCCAACTTTATTGAGTGCTTTTGCTTTTTTTAAGCATAATAGATTGTGAATTTTGTCAAATGCATTTTCTGTGTCTATATAAGCAGATATAAGCATAAGATATTTTTTCTTAACTCTAATATGTTAGATTTTACTAACGGGATTTCCTGATATTTAAGCACGCTTTAATTCCTAGAATAAAGCTTACTTAGTCATGATGCATAGTTTTTTTAAAAAAAAATAAATTCTATTTGCTAGTAATTGAGCTAAGAATTTTTATGCAGATGTTTATAAATAAGATTGGTCTGCTGTTTTCTTTTTCAGTTGAATCTGTCAGGTTGTAGAAAAAATATTTTGCTCATTTTAGAAAATAAAAGTTTAACCTCTTTTTCCCTCTACTGAAAAGACTTAAGGTGCATTGAGATTATATGATTTTTTTATCGCTTCTCAGCCTTTTGGCTAAGATCAAGTGGAGATTATAT